AGGTAGGATAAGGAGCGAGGCGGTACGACTCTAGAAGCGAGGTGGTATAACTCTAGGAGCGAGGCGGTACAGATCTAGGAGCGAGGCAGTATAAGAAGCGAGGCGGTATAACCCTAGAAGTGAGGCGGTATAAGGAGTGACGTGGTATAACTCTAGGAGCGAGGCACTATAAGGAGCGAGGCGGTATAATTCTAGGAGCGAGGCGGTATAGGGAGCAAGGCAGTACGACTCCAGGAGCGAGGCGGTATAACTCTAAAAGCGGGAAAGTATGACTCGTATGACTATGATTAGTTGCGCACCTTTGCTGCGCCTGACGTCAGTGTGTTCGTCCTCCCACCTGTCCACAGAGTGTGGTCACGGAGCTCGTGCGGATCATGCATCGCCTGATCTGCAGGTCTGTGCTGTGTTGAGGCATAGCACTCACCAGCTCGATAGCACTGATGTGCGGTCGACAAACACATCGTGCCCATTCCACCACACCTTGCATGGGTGGAAGAGGCGGCATGGCAGGCGTGGCAGCGGCCACATCGTGCCCATTCCACCACACCTTGCATGGGTGGAAGAGGCGGTAGGCGTGGCAGCGGCCACAGCAATGCTTGTTGAAGTTGGCATGATTTTATCACTTTCCCGTGAGCGTGATGTATTTGGACGATTCTGCCACGCAACGCCAGATCTCGTTACCATCAAGAAACCCTCGCCCACGGCAGCAGGCATCACCTCGACCTGCCCATTATCCGTAAATTTCCACAAGATATCCACAATGCCTACAATGTCCACAATTGATCCGCGATTGAACTGAGCCGTCAATCGTTCGCGGTTTGCGAAGCTAAAATGTTTCGCATTCAACTATCCACGGCGTCTGTTCACGGCACCCATACTACATTCGGACGCTAAGGCAAAGAAGACGCCTTGTTCCGTCGGAGCCAGCCAGTGCTGAGGATCTGTCCACAATTGTATTATGTACTTTTGGCTGTTCTCAGTCCACTTTCCTGGCAATACGCTGGTCACGCTGGGCGAAATCCCTCGCCTGGTCGCGCTCTTCTCAGCGTAACGTACCAAAATGATAACATCCGTATGGCCCTTGAAGGGAGTGTCCCACTGGGTCGGCTACTTCAAATAGAGATTCTGAGTCATTCCAAAGAATTTCGAGAAAACTAATAGTATTGATTCAATTACAATCGCCTGGTGTAACAATAAGTAAAAAGTACGAAAAATGGGATACTCCCTGTAAGTGAGCTTGAGGTGCCGAACAGAAAAGAGCGTGCTGTCATCACGAAAGACAGCCAACGGGATTCGCCTTTAAGGGTTTGGATACTTTTTAGATCTCAGCATGATTTACAACTTTACCTAAGCGTTGAATTACGCCATCCAACCACAGCAAAGACACGCTTGTTAGCAGTGTACCAATTGTTACGCTCCGGTTATGTTCCGTCAAAAAACCTCCGCTCCATGCGTAAGGCAAGTTATCGATGGTATTTGTTGGTGAATTACATTTATTCATCATGTTAAGATATGGAAATGCATGCAGTCCGTACTGCAGCAATCTGACACCTGTCCTAATGCAAAAGTCGAATGAGTAATAGCATCCCTAGATGCAACACATACGATAATGTTTACAAGCACGATGCAAATGATTTGCGATATCCACTCATCAGCATGGAATGCAGACGATTTGGCTGAAGTGCATCATCAGCCTAAATTCTGCTCACGTCTCTGTACTGCTGGATTGCCGCAATTTGGGAGACCGCGACTAGGTCAGACGGCGGCGCCCAGCAAGACGCGGCGGCATGTGCTGCGCGAACCACTCAAGGGTCCATTTAAAACCACCGGCGAGGAGGTCAGGGTTGCCGAGCTGCAGGCACAGGGCAAGCTCAGCAGCGAGCGGACGGCCAGCGGACGGTCAGCGGACGGTCAGCGGGCGATCAGCAGACGATCCACGGACGGTCAGCGGACGATCAGCGGACGATCAGCGGACGGTCAACGGACAGTCAGCAGACGATCAGCGGACAGTCAGCAGACGATCAGCGGACGGTCAGCGGACGATCAGCGAACGATCAGGAGACGGGCAGCAGTCAGCGGCCAGTCGGCGGACAGTCAGCAGACGATCAGCGGACCGTACCGTGGCCAGGTGAGTGGCGGGTGGGTGACGAACCGGGCCCGTCGGGTGGGGGGAGGGGGGGGCTGGGGTCCGCTGCTGACCCGGACGGCCCCGTCTGACCGCTGACGGTGCGGCGATCGACAATGCCCGGCGCGCCGGCCTGCCGGGGCGCGCAAGCTCGCGTTGCCGCTATAGTCAGCAGAGCCTGCTGCCCGCCTCAGCCACGTCGTCCGGCCCAACAGACGGCTCGAGCGAGGCCAGCCACTGCACCAGTGGTGTCGTCCGGCCCAACAGGCGGTTCGAAACACCACTGGAGACCAGTCTCTTAAGCGGCTCGGTGTCTAGGTGGTTCCGACTCGGCCTACTTCTTCAGAGGTGGCAGATCTGTATCAGTCGTGCTCCAGTCTTTTGTTTCCTTTGACGTGACCTGGCACCAGGGACCGCTGTTTCCTTTGTTTGGTGCTAAAAGACAGCATTCAGAGACATCATTCACCATTCAGTTCATTCGTAGAGGAGGAAAACCTTTAAATAAGCTTTCTCTGTCCAGGCTTAACACGTAGCGATGCACGAATCAATGAAGCACGTGCGGTGATCAATAAGTGAGTAGGTGTCTCTTGTGGGAAATCACACATGCTGCTAAACCTGTGATGGCACGTAACAACCCCCTCCCTTCGTCCTCTTTAACCGCACAGAAAGACACCGAAATACTCGCTCCACATTTGCCTAGAAAAAGCGAGGGGAAAAAACGGAACCCAGCGTTTAACGGACGCCAACAACGGTCCCGAGGAAGGCTCTACGCCAGCCCACCTCCAGGCGAGATACCTCCCCCGGTGCCAAGCCGTCAGTACAGCGCTACCTCGATCACCGGAGCGGCGGCGGCGGCGGCGGCGGCCGCTGATCAGAGATGCAGATTGGCAGCCGCGCCGCCCACGCAGGTCGGCGGGTCGGCGTAAACACAGACAGCTGACAGCTCCGAGGCGGCCCGTGACGCTTCCGGTCCCGACCGGCTCGGGGGAGGGGTAGGGGGTACCTTACGGGTGCGTGTGACGCCAGCGGCTGGCGGACGTGACGGCCGCGTCACGTGACGGGTGTGGCCGCAGCGCGGGTGGCCACGTGGAACGCTCGTCGCGCCGGGCGCCCCGGACCGAGCCGCGCGCAGTGGCAGGGGACAGGGGGACAGGTTCGCTGCGACAAATGACCGTGCATCGGGGAGGAGGTGCAGCTTGCCCGTCAGCGTGCCCCGTGCAGGTGATGCCTCTCTCGGAAAGTAAAACCACATCACAGGCTTTCCGTCAGCGCGGCATGGATGCGAGAGTCAGAAACCTCTTACACCCACACAGAATGAACACAGACCACCGGTTCTTTAAAGCATCAGTAGCTCACTGGCTCGACCCACTAATCAATGACTGAGCACCTGAAGCAAGATTGACCTGCTTCAGGAGTATTGGCTACCAAGCTGAGATCTAAAAGCAGCCTGACGAGTAATATCGTGTTATGAGGGCCAGTGAGGTCGATGATGTCTGAATGTCAGGGACGACGGTGCGATGAGGCACAAATAATGAGGCTGCTGCCGGGCTCAGACCGACAGCCTGACAGCATCGGGCGAGGATGACAGTGACTCTTCTGCAGCAGTAGACTGCTGCCAGGCTCAGATCGAGACCAGCGCGTGGCTCAGGTGCTGCTGGAGCCACGCGCTGAAGCCGCGCAAAGCGACCAATATTTGCCGAGACTGGGACCCAGTCCGAGCCCCACACGCGCTGTTGCTGTCTGCTCCACCGACGCGCTGGACTCCAGGTGTTTCCAGCCTGCCGGACAACACACAGACACGCGCCGATCGATGTGGCCATGTGACCGCGACGGCACAGCAACAACGCAGCCCGGCCTCGGGCGGTGGCAGGAGCCACGGCCGCCCGACAACAGGTGGTGGTGCCCTGGAGCGGCCGGACTCGGGCGGTGGCAGGAGCCACAGCCGCCCAACAACAGTTGGTGGCGCCCTGGAGCGGCCGGCCTCGGGCGGTGGCAGGAGCCGCGGCAGCCCGACAACAGGTGGTGGTTCCCTGGAGCGGCCGGCCTCGGGCGGTGGCAGGAGCCGCGGCAGCCCGACAACAGGTGGTGGTGCCCTGGAGCGGCCGGCCTCGGGCGGTGGCAGGAGCCACGGCCGCCCGACAACAGGTGGTGGTGCCCTGGAGCGGCCGGACTCGGGCACCACCACTCGACATCTGGTGGTGCCCTGGAGCGGCCGGACCATCAGCGCGGACCGCCCGGCTGCGGTGAACGCTCGCCTGCGGCCGTCAGCGGGAAGCGGACCGGCGTTGGCCGCCAGACGACCTAGATCACGCTTGCTGGAGGGCCGGGAGCGCGCCGCGGACGACAGCTCAAGGCCCGGTGACTGATCCACAGACCCGTGGTGGTGAGAACAGACTGGCGCCACTCACTTATCAGGTGAGGGCGGATAGCGCTGGAGTGGATTTTTGTAAAAACATCTGCAGTATGCGGGAGGCTAAGACGCCATCTTTCGTCGTAAATCGTGGAGGTTAGCTTGAATTGCATGGCGTTTGCATGCCCGGTAACAACCCATGCAGGCAACGATTAAGACAGCTATCACCAGCGAAAGCTATATAATCTGGCTATCACAAGCGAAAGCTCTGCAATCCGTTCAGTATCCTCTCATTTGGTAAACCGTCACGAAGATCGGCATAGCCAGTTGGGTCACGTAAGCTCCTTTGAACCGTTCGCCACGAACGGCTCGAAGCCTCTACGGAAACTTTTGATGAGAGCCCCACGTGGCTGACACAGTTGCGCGTGATTATAACACAACACGACGTCGTCTTGAGCCTCTCATACACACCCACCACCAACTCCACACACACCACGCCCCCAGGCGCGCCTGCCGCCTTCTTACCTGCTCGACGTCTGCTGTGCCGTCTCTCTCTCTCTCCGCTGGCTGCCGCTCCGCCGGAGCTCCCTCGCGCGTCACTTGCGACTGTCGACTGTCGGCGGTCGTCACCCGCCGACGCTGGCCCGCTTCCCGCACTGACAACGGCCGCGCGCCCCACACGTGCACCGCCGAGGTCGATTCGGCGCGTCTGCCCCGGCCGGCTGGCGGCCGGCGGCGCGGCGCGCTCGCGCGCAGGGTCAGCGCGCAGGGTCGCCGGGTCTCGGTCAGCCGGCCGCCGCACTTTCTCTGGCCGATGTCCATATATGGCAGCGGCGCGCGCCGCGACAGGCAGGCCGGCCGCCAGCCATATATAGGGGCCGGGTGATACACCGCCCGTGATCGTATCGCCGGACGGTCCGGCGAGCTGGGGTCCCGGAACGGGGCGGCCGGGCATGGACCGGGGACCAGGGGCGGGACAGGCGGGGACAGCTGCAGACAGGACTGTTTTGGGGTCCCGGCACGGGACGGCCGGGCCTGGACTGGTGACCACGTCCGCTGCAGACTGGACTGTTCTGGGGTCTCGGGACAGGGCGGCCGGGCCTGGACTGGTGACCAGGTGCGGGACAGGCGGGGACAGGAGCAGACAGGACTGTTTTGGGATCCCGGGACGGGACGGCCGGGCCTGGACTGGTGACCAGGGGCGGGACAGGCGGGGTAGCTGCTGACAGGACTGTTCTGTGGTCCCGGGACAGGACAGCCGGGCATGGACTGGTGACCAGGGGCGGGACAGGCGGGGACAGTTGCAGATAGGACTATTCTGGGGTCCCGGGACGGGACGGCCGGGCCTGGACTGGTGACCACGTCCGCTGCAAACAGGACTGTTCTGGGGTCCCGGGACAGGACGGCCGGACCTGGACTGGTGATCAGAGGCGGGACAGGCGGAGACAGCTGGAGACTGGACTGTTCTGTCGTGCCGGGACAGGACGGCCGGACCTGGACTGGTGATCAGGGGCAAGACAGGCGGGGACAGCTGCGGACAGGACTGTTCTGGGGTCCCGGGACAGGACGGCCGGGCCTGGACTGGTGATCAGAGGCGGGACAGGCGGGGTAGCTGCTGACAGGACTGTTTTGGGGTCCCGGGACAGGGCGGCCGGGCATGGACTGGTGACCAGGGGCGGGACAGGCGGGGACAGTTGCAGATAGAACTGTTCTGGGGTCCCGGGACAGGGCGGCCGGGCCAGGATTGGAGACAAGGGGACGGATAGCCGGATCATCTACACCGAAGTCTTAGGACAATGCACTCGGATCTATTGTTCTGGTATGCTGGGACAGGACAACCGTGTCTGTGATTGAGCTCGGCGTGAGGGCAAGAGCCAGGAGCAATACAGGCTTGTTCTTGATTCAGTTCAAGTTCAGAATTTAAACAGGAACCACAACAAAGCTCCTTGGACTAGAGTTGATCCGAATCAGTTGTTAGTTACGTGGTTCAGACTGAGAGTCGCTACAATTTTATCACAAATCCAACGAATCAGCTCTGATTTGAAAAACGTTAGCACTGTCTCACAAGGGTCGTGATCGATTCGAAGAAGAAAAAACATTAATGAATGACGGTCCTAAACGCCAGCAGGACAAACAACTTGTGTTGTGGTGAGTTTATCTTACATTTGCTCTCTTAGGTCGCTACAACAGCCCGTTTAAGTGCAAGTTTAAATAAGGTGTTCTTCTGATACATGTATGGAATTAGAAAACATCCAAGAAAAAGACATTCAGAGTTTTCTCATATATTTCAGAGATGCTTAAGTTGATTCACTTAAAAACGATACCGCCGTGGATGAACTTTTAATGTTTGAGCAAATATAAACATATTCGAAACGCGCACACGTCCAGAGCAAATCGCTCCCAGTTGTTTTTAGAACCTAATTTGGCTGAGCTATTATGTTGTTTGTTCATTTTGCTAGAAAAGTGTGTTCATCTAATTTGTTACAACAGCTATATTAATTTTGATTCAATTTTAAAAATTCACCAGACGGTTCGTCACTTTGCTTTTAAATGGTTTTTCGTTTTGTTCTATTTTTGTTTGCTTTCCTTTTTACCCAAGTTTCTAGTTTTTCTGTTTCAGTCGATCGCACAACTGTAGCAGAAGAATCGACGTACGCTTGCTCGCTCGATAAAACGGAGGGCGAACTGGACCACATAATCATTGGACATAAAACCTCCAGCTGTGCGGGTCGTAAATGCAAAGCTATTTATAAAAAATACATTTTTTACCAGGGTCGGTGCAGTTTCATTAATCATGCGCTTCCATGACAGAGGCTTTTTCAGAGAAGTGATGTTCCCGCCCTCAGGCAAGTCATTTCAATGGAATGACTTGCGTTAGGGCGGAAGCACCAGGGGAAGAAAAGCCGCCATTCGTGCCCATCGTCGCGAACACACCACCGCATTGGTCTGAGGTCGACACCGACACCAAGCCATGCTTCAGCAAGACATAGGGGGCAGGCTGGAGCTGGACAGCTGAGTTCTAACGCGCCGCCGAGAGCGTTCATCACGCCCTGCACCAGCTCAGAGGACGCGCCCCTCTCCAGGCCCCGCTGGTCCAGTGACTCAGCCTGTCTGGGACGGCGCCGCCGCCGCGTCGACTCCGTGACTGAATCAGGGGTGGCGCCGAGGGGAGGGGAGGGGGGTGCGCCGGCGGCTGCGAGCTGGTGACGCGGCCCGGCCAGACCCAGGCCCTGAGCCAGACCTCAGGCCGGCGTCCGCCCGTCGCACCGCAGCCCGGCGTCAGTGTGGCGCGACGCTCGGGGGAGGGGGGGGGGGGCGGGGCGGGGGGCTCGCGGGAGTGTGGGACCGCAAGTTCCATGGACGGGCGGGAGCGGCCTCTCATGTAGGCATTTGCAGCACTGTCGGGCGGCGCCACATCATGTCAGCCTTGCGAGCAGCGCAGATGGATGGCCAGTCGCCGGTGGTTCAGGAAAGCAGCTGGAATGTAGTGGTTTGGTGGCTTAGCGCATTAGCGTATGATTACATCAGCGTATGATGTCGCGCATTACTCGCCAATTCAACTTCCTTTAGCTGTTGTTGCATGCTGGAATTTGTCCCGTGTATTTGGGACGACGTTGTTGTTGATGGTTTGTTTGGAATAGCGATTTGCAACACATCACCTCACTAAATGAATCCACCTACGAAACATTTCTTTGATTTTACGTGGCCTCGAATTATTAAAGAAGCTCTTTTAAAAACAAACGCTTGTCACTTAATCGAATTCCGAACAAATAATAGTATCTTTTTTTCTTCAGATGCCACTCTATTCACCTACAACACTGACATGACGAACGCACCACTAATGCATACTAGGCTTTCAAATGATTCATGCCAAAACTTTAAAAAATAATATGTGGTGAGTAGAATGTTTTTTTGGGGGGAGAAGACGAACAACGAAGAAATCAGTACGTTAAGCGGCAATTTCTTGAAAATTAAACTCGAAAGATTCTTTGGTAGACTCAAACACTTTGTAAACATTTTCTAGCGATGTGTGTTCATAGGCCATTTCAGCTCTCAGTGGCTTAGCATCCCTCATGCATTGGTAGAGAGTTTGATTTACCTCGTACGCAATTTCACATTCCTCTACGAAACATTGATTACTTCTATCACCACGTGCATACCACACTTGCATGCACCTATCACTGCACCTTGTCACCAGGCCGATGTTGAGGCAGGCCTCATGCACGACCGCGGACGGGTCACGTGACTGCCACACCCACGTCCCCCCGATCTGCAGAGCGGAGCACCACTCTGCAGAGGCCGCCGAGAGGGCGGGCGCATCTTCATAGCATGTCAATGAACGCGTGCGTCATCTCTAGCGCCGAGCTCTGTTGCCAAACCCACATCACAGCATTTCCGTGGGACGCCAGGACGTACTCCTGGTCTTCGTGGATCCCTGCAGCCTGAGACCCTGGCTCCGCGCCGCGGCCCGGTGGGGTGGCGGTGGCGGCGGTGACATCGCGTGGTTGGGAACTCCGCGCGGGATGGGCACCGGTGGGACGGCGGAATGGAGCCCGGTGGGATGGCGGCCGCGGCGGGTGGGACGGCATAGACGAGAACTCCACACGGGACGGGCACTAGTGGGACGGCGGAGTGGAGCCCGGTGGGATGGCGGCCGCGGCGAGGTGGGACGGCGTAGACGAGAACTCCGCGCGGGACGGGCATCAGTGGGATGACGGAGTGGAGCCCGGTGGGATGGCGGCCACGGGGGGTGGACGGCGTAGACGGGAACTCCGCACGAGACGGGCCTCAGTGGCACAGCGGAGTGGAGCCCGGTGGGATGGCGGCCACGGCGGGTGAGACGCGAGCGCGACCCCTGTGCGACTGTGCGGTGCCGGATCGTGGCCCTCGCGAACAAGCAAACGAAGCACAGCTTTTTGCCCGCTTCTTGTGCCGCCAATGAAGGCCAGGGGGAGGAGGTGGGTAAGCGAGGCGTCATGGAGTGTGCAGGTATCTGAATCGCCAGAGCGCGCATGCACAGTTCAACAATAAGAAGCAGGCGCACAAAACCGCATTTAGCTGGATATTTGGACCAAGTGCAAACATGTTAATGAGTGCTATTTCCAACCTGCAGCAGATCCGCATTTAGGAAGCCATAACGTGTCCTTTTAAGTCATGCGATGGAATAGAAGCGCAAGAGAGCAATGTTTCAGCTTGCGGGATTCATGGGTGTTGCAAGGTGTATTTTGGAATCATTCTACCCATTCTAGCTACCCATTCTAAGACAAGAAAGCCAATTCCTAAAAAAACGCACACAAGTGGTGAAGTTTGGATGGGGCGTTATCATACAAGGCAGTGCACATAGCTCAAATGCTGCAAATCCAGATTTTACTGTACTCGTCAAAACTGTGGAAATGTGGCATGAAACGCGACTAACTCAAGCTTTGTCTTATCCCAACTTCATCACAAGGGCTTGTAAGGGCTGTACAGATACAGCTGTACAGATAGCATCGAGGGACAAAGCATACGTTTTTGCGTATTTTTTGCGTATATGTTTATTGCGTATTTATTTTTCCAAGTTGTTAGCGACGGACGAAATCGGGTAAAAAATCTACAGTTATTGGCAGGATACCAACAACTACAGCAGTATTTGCGCTCTGTTTCTGCACTCGTCGAAAGGAAGGACTAGAATGTATTTATCTCTCCCGTCTCTTTCTCTC